TCATAGAACAAGGTTTTCAACAAAGAAATTGATATTGTAATGTTGTGTTAATCTCTACATAAGCTTACCATATATAAAATCTGAAAACATTATCTTATTCCGCATTCTAGTTTTCAAATGGACACCATTTTTCTATTTTTAGTAACAGTGACCTTGACCTCAGGGGGCCCCAAAGAGCAAATCCCAAGCAATTCAACCAATCAGTTACCAGACATTATTGTAAAAAATCAAAATCAACACATTTCTTCCCCATAACATTTTTATTATCAAGTTGGTAAAAATAATATGGATACATTACATGCATCAGTCGGGCATGGTTATAATGGACTCTTTTTAAAAAGTGCAAGCTTAACAGAGTGACAACATCCAAGTAAAACAACATAAATAGAAACATATACTTCCACAAACATATTACATGTAAATTTCAGTAATTACAGAGCATTACATGAAAATTTCAGTAATTACATAGCATTACATGTAAATTTCAGTAATTCCATAGCATTACATGTAAATTTCAGTAATTACATAGCATTACATGTAAATTTCAGTAATTACAGAGCATTTCATGTAAATTTCAGTAATTACAGTGTAACTAACTCATGTAAATTTTCAGAAACAGATATTTCCACACACATTCATGACAGTGTTCACAAGTTCTTCTGATGTTCTCAAATAAATAAAAAAATTAGCTATAAATCATTAAATGTTTTTACCTGCTCTTCAAGTACAATGTAAAATTATAGTTGTTCATAAAACAATATAATTATATGTATCAAAAGAAAACTAAAAAATTACAAAAAAAAACTTAAATAAATACTTGGTCCGTCCATTGACTGTGAGCTACAAATGAAATAAGGTGTACATAGTAAGGTACTGACAAAAAATTTGGAATTTCATAATATTAATGAACATATAACCATTTGTTTTGTTTAGTGCTTTACACACTTATTTAAGCAAAATATTGATGAAAAATTTGAAGTTTATTTGAACCAATCTCGAGTCCATTTCCTGAAACTTAACCAATATTGGTGTCATACGAGTATGCATGGTCAAAATAGGGCTCTAGCCCGCGGTCACTTAGATGAGTGGCAGACATCCTAACCACTTGGTCAACACTCGCTCTTGTTTTGGTGTACCACCAGTTTATTAAAGTGTGCCATACAAGAGAGGCATGTGAATTTCCTGAAAAGAAGTCCTGGATTCTATACAAGAACAAAATTTGTTTCTTATCTATATCAGAATCTATCTGCATACTATACCAGAATTGACCTGGATTGTTTACAACTGACCTGGATTCTATAAAAGAACTGACCTGGATTCTATCAAAGAACTGACCTGGATTCTATCAAAGAACTGACCTGGATTCTATAAAAGAACTGACCTGGATTCTACAAAAGAACTGACCTGGATTCTATTCTATATGAGAACTTATCTATCTTCTATACCAAAACTGGAAGCATATGATCAAAATCAAAGTCTAAAATATACCAAGAAATTCCAACTTTTCTGCTGTCAAAATTACACACGTAATAAGAAATACAGTGAAAACACAATATTTGCTCTAAATGCAATCTCAAATTAATATAAAATCTATTGGCAAGGAAAAATATATACAGACTTAAAGATAACAGCCCATACTTTCTGTCTTTCACCAATGCTAATTTAAATTCAAATTTGTCAGATATTTATTCCCAATGAAGAGGGAAATACAAACAGTGCCCAGAGTTTATAACTTTATTTGTTTTTCAAAAATACATGAACTGAGTTTCTTTAATTATAAGTTAAACAGTATCTGTATAAAAAGATTTTTTTTAAATGTCTTTAATATTTTTAGGTATTTATAAATAGTCAAGTCCTTAAGCAAGTTATGGTAATTTTTGCTCTTTTTTGTGATCATTCAAAATCCATAAAAACTTATAATTTGAAGAAATAAAATGATGCTTTGTAACATGTATGATAACATGTAAATCTTTTCTATATATTGTCATATTCTCATTAAACCCATTACTTCGTGAAACATTTAAGTGAATAACCTATGCCATAAGTATAAAGTCAGTATAAATCCTGGCCAGCTCTGCATATCTGTGTATTCTGACCAGGCTCTTTACCTGCTTGTATCTCAATTTTATATATTTCCACATTAAAATCCCTTAAAACTTGAATGAACTGTTCCAAATTCAAAGCAGGACAAAACCATTACATAAATATTATTAAAATTCTGTATATACATGAACATAGACAGGTCTTTTATTAACACAATTTTGTATCTTAAAAACAAAGTTAAAAATTACAAAAATTTACCAAAAAAAATGAAAGACAGAAAACTTCAAATAATCAAATAAAAATTTCCTAGAATAATACTTTAATATTATTACAGTATTTTACATTATTCACACATAGAGCAAACACAAGGGATGGAATACAAAAAATAAACAAAAATAAAATAAAACAATAAAATATATATACAGAAATGGATTGTGCTTTTGTGTTCAAATTAATGAAACTCAGTAAAAAAAAAGTCAAAGCCAACAACCTTAACCACTAGGCCATAGACCACTCCTTGCCTAATTTATGCATTGTTCTTGGCACTCAAGTAGACTTCCATCTGAAAGAATACTATCTCCAGATGGCATTCAAACTTACAGCAGTGGGAAGTAATCTTAATCACTCAGCCATGGTAAAAACTTTATGTTCAAAACGTCTATTTCTACTGTTCAATTCAAGACGACCTTCCAGATAAGAGGTCATTTGCATATTCATTAAGGGAAAAATATCACCTCAAAACAGATACAGTCCATAATAAAATTAAAGAGATTAATTATTATTGCACAGATATGAATTGTTTTTAGATCCCTGAATTGTGAATCTGAACCTCTCACCTGGAAGGTCAAGTTGAATACTAAAAGGTCAAGGTCATTGATTAAAATAATAATTTTTGAAATAATTTAACATAAAATAGTTATAAATAGTTAAGGTATATATATACAAATGTAGTTAAAGGTCCTGCCTACACTTGTAGATGAAATGAATTTTTCTTAAATAAAAAAAAACAAACTTTACAAGTATTCAGTGTAAGGTCGGCAAACATTATCTATGAAAGTCAATGTATTAGTTATAATTAGAATACATTGAAGTAAAGATTGTAACTGGAAAAACAAGATCATGTATTTTTTTAGCATAGAAACAAATTTATTAATGACTGTACAAACAGTAATGCCAAGCATATTAGAATGCCAACAGTAGAGCCAGATTCGTATGTCACTCAATATATTGCGAAAAAAATATTCCATTGACTGTTTTGAAAAAAAATAACTATCATTGACTATTTTGAAATAATTACATATAAATGGAATAATTCAAAAAAAATCTAAGATTTTGCTTATGACCTTGAAAATATGGTCAAGGTCAATATACTAAAAGAGTTTAATAGCTTATTGCTTATGACCTTGAAAATATGGTCAAGGTCAAGCTTATATGCTAAGAGTTGTATGGCCTATTGCTTATGACCTTGAAAATATGGCCAAGGTCAAGCTTATATATACTAAAAGAGTTTTATAGCCTATTGCTTATGACCTTGAAAATATGGTCAAGGTCAAGCTTATATATACTAAGAGTTTAAAAGCCTATTGCTTATGACCTTGAAAATATCGCTAAGGTCAAGCTTATATATACTAAAAGAGTTTTAAAGCCTATTGCTTATGACCTTGAAAATATGGTCAAGGTCAAGCTTATATACTATAAAGGTTTTATAGTCTATTGCCAATGACCTTCATAATATGGTCAAGGTCAAGCTTAGATACTTAAAGGGTTTTATAGCCTATCATTCAAGCATTCAAACAAGCAAAACAATAGGTGAGACTATATATCACTTTTCTATCCTCCTTCAAGGAGAATGAAACAAATGTCATATAATAATATAACATTATCAATTAAAATATATTTATACATATACAAATGAGACAATATTATAACTATTTACAAAAAGGTATATTAAAGAAACATAGCAAAGAAATTTTCTGAGCGTGAAATTGTGAGAAAACACGTAGTTTGAGCATTACATAAAGCAATGTTGTTCAGACATTTTCTTCAGACATATACCCTTCTAGACAAAACCTTGATCCTATATAATCAGTATAAAGTATAATTGTCAATGATAAAAGCCCCTAAATGCTTCATAAAAGCCACAAGATGGCACAGCCACAATATGGCAAAGCCACAAGATTGCACAGCCACAATATGGCAAAGCCACAAGATGGCACAGCCGCAAAATGACACAGCCACAACATGGCAAAGCCACAAGATGGCACAGCCACAATATGGCAAAGCCTCAAGATGGCACAGCCACAAGATGGCAAAGCCACAAGATTGCACAGCCACAAGATGGCACAGCCTCAAGATGGCAAAGCCACAAGATGGCACAGCCACAATATGGCAAAGCCACAAGATGGCACAGCCACAATATGGTAAAGCCACAATATGGCAAAGCCACAAGATGGCAAAGCCACAAGACTGCACAGCCACAAGATGGCACAGCCACAATATGGCAAAGGCACAAGATTGCACAGCCACAAGATGGCAAAGCCACAATATGGCAAACAGCCATAATATGGCACAGAGGCAGGGTGGAATTTTACTACTTTTTTTAAATTTAGAAATGGTTAGAGGTACAAGCAAGTATTTTGAACCAATATATTTTCTAATTTTTCCAAAGCCAAATAGTTTTCCAAAGCCAAATAAAGAGATTTTTTTCTGAAGAAAAAAAGGATTACACATGATGTATAGAAGAAGTTGTACAGTAAAAAGAGATGCAATTGGATTGCCTATTACCTGTAGAGCACCACTATAACAATACTTTATTTTTTTATCACATTAACAAATGCTTTACTATTCTTATCTCAACAAACAACATTTAAGGCAATACAAAATAACATTATCTTCACAAAAAAGTAAGCATCATACAAAATATGTAACATCTCTTAACAAAAATATAATAGGTTTCATTTTTATCAGTATGGCATAAATTGTTCATAAAACATTGTCTTAAAACTAACTCTGACTGATAGATGATAAAACAAATTATTGAAATGCAAGTCTACATGCAATAGTAGCTGAAAAAATACATTCTATACATGAAATAATCTTACAGTCTTCCCCATAACCTTTGACCTTTTTCTTCTTAAAAAGGTTATACACCCGCTATCCTATAAATGACTAGTGTAAGACTGAAGTTTATATAGACGCCTCTAGCCTGTTTTTCACTGCAATACTTTTACAAAGGTTCATTGTTAGTAAAAATAGGCATAATGGTTTGTAAATGTGCTAAAAATGGCTGCATATCTTTACAATTTGTTCCACTATTTAAATTTGTGATTGAAAATAAAATTCTTAAATGGTATCCCTTTGGGTTATTATACAATGACCTTGATTAAGAAAATCTTTCACGGTTACAATAAAACATCAAAGCTCTTGAATAACCTCTTATCTATACAGAATTAACATTTCAACGGTTTCTATTGTTACATTATCATTAAAGGTCAATGTTTATTTATAGATGACCTTTGACCTAATGAGATTACATACCTCTATGATAGTTTCTATGATAATATTATAACTAGAATTCAACATATCTATACATAACTGGATTTATGGTCTATATCCTATTTGAACTATATAAATTCATTGCAACTGACTTTGTTCATAAATAATTGTTTTGTGACCTTATGACCTATTCTGACTTGACATGACCTTCAGTTTCTGTGGTAGCATTTCCATTAGTATCATCTTTCTTTAGCTCCTGATAGGCCATAAACACAGCTGCATATTCTGGTCTCTTCTCAGCAAATGCCTTAAACTCTCCTGGAATGATGATAAAATAATAACCCTCTAGCCTACTTAAATGTGCAAATGAGAAACCTGCAGGTAATAATGTGAAAGAAATGTGAAATCTGCAGGTAATAATGTGAAATAAATGTGAAATTTACAAGAAATTATGTAAAGTTGTGTTGTCTTCATGCAAAGAAAAAAACCGAAATGGTTTCTAAAAAAGTTTTTCAATCTTCCTTCTTAATCCGTACAGTTTTATTTTTTGACAATTATCATGTAAATGAAATGTTCATAAATAAAATATTGTTTAAACTAAAGGAAAATATGTTTCTAATATATACGTATGATAGTTTTGTGGCAAATAAGTCGAAAATGAAAACTCTTAGGCTGAGCTCTAAACAGACAAAGGAAGCCCATTCCATTCATGTATTATTTCATTTCAGGCAATGGCCGAAGCATGAGTGGGATACAATAACCTTTAGGCTGCTAGCTGCGACTGATTCTACCAGTGCAGTCCAAGATCTTCTCACACTTCCTTGCCATCTGATCATGGTCTGCATTGTTTGCTATTCAGTCTATACATATTTTGAATTTCTCCCTTAAAATGATGAATGGTTTTATGATATTATCCAGATTGAAAAATGGACAAGTCAATTTAAGATACTTAGCGTGGCAAGTTTTATAGAAGAATTACACACCATATGTGATTTTACCATCCTCATCAGCATCTATCTGTTTGAAGAGTTCTGCCACATCTACATCTAACATAGCAAATGAATTATACAATATATGGGAGAGATCTTCTTCACTTATATAACCTTGCTTACTCGAGTCAAACAACTGAAAATACACATACACGTATATATGTTATGTGTGTATATAAATGAAACATCAGAAATGGCATTCTGACATCTTCGAAACAAATCAACAAACAAATCAACAGTCATTTTTGAATACATTTGAAAAATTTGGCTACATTTGCAACTACTACATAACAAAATGTAAATGTACATAAATCTTCTATGTAACTACAAGACCATCTTACTATAGGGCAAATTGTGAGATATACATGTGTGTGTTTAATGAGGGTCCATCTGCCCTTTCAGGCACTAAGAGTACGGAGCCCATGAGATATACAAGATGTTTCAGGAACTTACATAAGTAACAAGAGTAGAATATAATAACTTACCTGGAATGCTAGAGAGATTGTGCTATCTGTATTAACAGGTGTAGAATATAATAACTTACCTGGAATACTAGGGAATTGTGCTATCTGTATTAACGAGAGTAGAATATAATAACTTACCTAGAATGCTAGAGAAATTGTGCTATCTGTATTAACAGGTGTAGAATATAATAACTTACCTGGAATGCTAGAGAATTGTGTTATCTGTATTAACAAGAGAAGAATAAAACAATTTACCTAAGATGCTAGACAGATTGTGCTATCTGTATTAACGAGAGTGGAATATAAAAATTTACCTGGAATGCTAGAGAAATTGTGCTATCTGTATTAACAGGTGTAGAATATAACAACTTACCTGGAATGCTAGAGAAATTGTGCTATCTGTATTAACAGGTGCTGAGATCAATGATAAACCTATCACATACTCCCGAAAATCTATAGATCCTGACCCATCCTGAAAAGCAATGAAATCATATAGGTGGTAATAAATATTGGTTGACTATAGAATAAAAACAAGAATGTGAGTAAAATCAATGGATGATCCCTAATGTTGCATTGACAAAATAACAACATGGCCTTCTAAAAAGGAAAAGTAGCAAATCCTATTTTTAGCTTCAGTGACCTTTACCTTGACATAATTAACTTGAAACCCAATCTGAAGGTGAAGGTCAGAATGAGATACCAACACACCATATATCTAAGTTGTCAGTCAATAAATGAAGATGCAGTGAGAAATTATTATGACTAACTCTTTACCATGGAATTTTAAGATCAAACTTATATTAATAAACAACCATTTTAATATTTTTTACAATCTGCATTGTTTATAACAAAGGAAGTTAAATTAAAGTTACATCAAATTCTTGAACCATACATTATCCTACATTCTAACACACTTCACACTATTTCCCTATCAAACAGATAGGGCAATCAAGAACATTATCATATTAAGACACTAATATTTATATACTGAACGTATGAATAAGTTATAAATATACAGTTTTTGTTTCGATGATAATGAAAGTGATGATCTTACATAACTAACTTAGATGTTACTTCAGTCAATAACAAACAAAACACATACCCTATCATACATTGCAAACACATCCTTGAGTGATTGAGATTCTGGTACTTGCAAATATTTTGAGAACTCGGACACAGTTATCACCCCTTTGCCTTGTAGATCTATACTGCTGAACTTTTCCAACAATGTGTGCATATCATCTACACTAATCCTGAAAAATAACAGCATAAAAATTTATTCACTGGACATTTTTATGGATGAATTTTCTTCTTGACTTTTTTATCCTGCGTCAATAATTTAGGATTTAACTCGATACAGTGTTGGAGCAGACTACCTCAAGACGCTTGCAGAAATCATAATCACAAAGTAGAAAAATATCACCTTTTTCACAGAATATTACATTTTTCATACATGATCGTAGATAAACTGGTGTGAAGAGATGAATTAGATGTCTAAAAGCGAAAAATCAATATTTTAGCATTCAATCACTCAGGTTCTTTGTCTGGTATATACCAGATTACCATATTTAATGTAGTGGTCCAAAACGTATTTTAGTCTCACTCAATATTTTACAGTATACTGGTAAATTCCCTTGACATGTACTTGTATATGTGTTTCCTTATACTCATTAAATATTCAAATTTCTGTCAACAAAGTATTCTTAAAAACCTAAAGACGGTACAATTTGCACTTGAATTCATACAAAATGAAAAAAATTTAAAGTAAAAAAGTAAAGTGTTTTACTAATACTGATACATGAGTGAATATTATAGCCCAACTAAAATTTCCAAAAATAAGTATTGACTAAAACTTGAACAGTGCAAACCACAACAGATGCCATCCATGCATGTGCCAGCTAACCTTGCTCAGCACTGGGCACATGGGGATAAGTTGTTAATTAATAATTTGTGGGGATTAATGAATAACTCATTAATGAATAACATCAAATGAGCCACGTCACAACAAAACCAACATAGTGCGTTTGCGACCAGCATGGATCCAGATCAGCCTGCACATCTGCGCAGTCTGATCAGGATCCATGCTGTTCGCTATCAGTTTCTCTACTTGTAATAGAGTTGGTAAGCAAACAGCATGGATCCTGATCAGACTGCACGGATGCGCAGGCTGGTCTGGATCCATGCTGGTTGCAAACACACTATGTTGGTTTTGTCGTGACGCGGCTCATATTTAGAATTCTATAAGCAGATAAGAAAACAGATAAAAAGTGATTAAAATGTACCCTAATTTTTTGTGTAGTTTCTGGAACTCTACAAGGCCAGATTCCATAGGTAGATTTAGTTTACGGGCCTTCATCATTAGACGGCAATCATCATATGTATGATCTGTAACTGGTACACCTAACGCTCTGAAACAAACAGAAATGTTTCATTACAAATATATGATATATATTCCATGCTGTGAGACATACGTGTTCAATCTTGTCTGTTTAAATAACCACTTTTAACAAAGATTCTAAGTTAAAAAGGGGCATAATCCCAAAAATATTGCTTTCAGAATTATGCCCCTTGTTTAAGCCAAAAAAAAAATACGAAGTCAAGAACTAAATAATAACTTACTCTGCCATAACTTTACGGACATTATTAGCAAATAACTTGGGATCTGCCTTTTCCTCTTCACTTGGCGTATACACAGGTAAATACTATGAAATAGAAACATAAATCAGTGAATATAAGTATGCTTAAACAATATACTCCTATTTTAATATGAAGCAAAACACCAATACACCATGAAAGACTGCAATACTTCATGTCTTTGAAAAAGAAACACACATGTATATATGTGAATTTCTCCCATTTTTTCTTACAGGCTATTTTTTCCCCATCATTCTTAGGGGCTTACAGTCAAAAACAACGCAGAGTGTTCTTAAACATAAAAACAGCCATTAGAAACGTGTTTATAAATTAATATATAAAGGTGAAATTTGATCACTGAAGTCATGGACAAATCAAATCAAAGTCATATACAGTCAAACCTGTCAGACCACCTCCATAAAAAGACCATCCTGTAAATAAGGACTACACTTTGACAAACCTTCATTGATGAAAATACAACAGAAAAAACTTAAAATTAAAACCACTTGTCTATAAAGGTCATGTTTTACTTAAAACTGTTCAATTTTTCTTGATGTAATTTTAATTAAGCACATTTTATACTTACTTCTATTTCTAATCTTGTATTAAACTGACATAATGTGAGCCACAGCAAAGTAAACCTGTAATGGAAACATAAAATATACAGCATATATATCAAACAGTTCAATATGTAATATGTAAATTACTACATTTTAACAGTTCTCAAGTTGCAAGTTGAAGTCGGATCAGTAACAAAATAAACTTTTGAGTAAGTTGAAACTTCAGAAACTTTACGTTGTGTAACAACTGGTCCTTGTCCTGACAAGCATGTATTCCAAGTTTTATGTTGATAACTTTTGAAATGTTGGAATAATGGGCTACAATAAAGTTTTGCAGAACGACCAAGTTTTTGCAGAATGATAACCAAGCTGCAGTGAACATAATAGCTCGATTCTTTCTTTGAAACAAACAAATTAATAACAAAACTGAATGTCAATAGTTTATTGGGTTGGCGTTAAACCGACATTAATGTACTATGATAATTTTTCATAAATTTTATCAAATCATACCTTGTGAAATTTCTGCATAACTGTCGGCCAAATTGTTAGCTACTTGTATGTTTACTTGCAAATTAAAATATGTGTTCATTCTCTAAAGTAAACATGACCAAACATTCAGAACTGGTCTAGAACTAATATAAACATGTACTTTCAAAACAATCTGCTTATGGTGTATAAAATAAATTTCAAAACTTACACCCCTGGTCCTTCCCATGTCCATGTGACTGTATCCTAAAACAGAAAGAACAAGTATGTATAATGATCTAAATGTTTCCACTAAAAACTCGCATCATCAGTACAGAAAATCCAACTGTAGCTGTTCTTTTCAACCGAAAATCCAACTGTAGCTGTTCTTTTCAACCTATCTCACAAGTGAAACTGTCCAACAAATTCCTAATACTAAAAATATACATTTTCTAATCCAATACAAAAATTCCTTATTCGAAGTGCACATAAAAACATGTCGCTAAAAACATTTAAATATTCATATTATTTTCAGCAAAGAAAGTCTATCTTGAATATTTTATTCATTTTTGCTATTTACATGTACTAATACATCATGTACACTTGTCCATGTACATCAACAAATTACATCTAATTAAATCTAGGATTATTAATATTTATAACCAGAATAATTTTATTACTCCAAAATTTTCATGTACATGTATATCAAATTTACGAGGTTTTACAATAAACTAGGTTATTTACTTATCATATGTTCTTAATAATTTTCTTACCAGTCTATTGGGATACCTTAGGCACACAGGTTGGACTGGAACTCCTGGGTGAAATGCACCTGAAAATGGTATATAAACAGTGACCTATGAATCATTATAGTTACAAAATCAGACCTATGAACTGTGAATATTAGATTGTCTACTTGTGATTTTTGTTAGTATCTGCACGGCTTTGGTTATTAAACTTTTCTCTATGTTCTGTCTAAAATCTCAGGATTTTCATTGATCAGGGTTCATTGATTTGATACCTGTTTCTGACCAATCAAATACTTGAGGTCTGAGTTTCAATTTAGAAAATATTAATAACCTCTGATCCTGATTTATCATTGGAATTTTGTATCTCACTAATACATCTTTAGCATCAACTCATTGACAAGCATTTTGTTAAAATCAGACAAATGCATGTCCCAGTGACACTGGTCCATTTTAAAGCTGCAATATTATTGTCTCATGATGATCCAAAATATTTCAAGAGAATCAAATTTGAGAAAAATGTACATGTAAAAAGATTTAAAGAAAAGTAAACAGATTCAACATTCAAGTAATTATTTACATGCTATAACTGACTGTAGTATTTATCATGTTATTTCTACTGTGTGACTTACGCAGTATTAAGAGCTTTTTGTATATTTCTACCTCTTTTTAAGTAAATCATGTTAAAAGTGCTGTTTGCAATATATAAAATACTTTCTTTGTTTACTTTAAACATTTATCTGTAAAATACATTTTCAAAAAATTTCATGATAATTAGCATAAATCTTAGCATAGAAATAACACAGATATTATTTACCTGATAACAAACAATAACTTAATCAATTGTCCATATTGAAACAAGTTTTATATTTGAGCCGCGTCACAACAAAACCAAATAGTATGTTTGCAACCAGCACGGATCCAGACCAGCCTGCGCATCCGCGCAGTCTGATCAGGATCCATGCTGTTTGCTATCAGTTTCTCTACTTGTAACAGGGTTGGTAAGCAACAGCATGGATCCTGATCAGACTGCGCAGGCTGGTCTTGATACATGCTGGTCGCAAACGCACTATGTTGGTTTCGTCATGGCGCGGCTCATTTTCTCTAAAAGTAAATCTAATAATCGTACCTAATTTGAATGAGATAAGGCAGCTTCTGTTTGTGCAAGTTCCCTCGGGAAATATGAGAATCTGTGGCCATCCTCCCGCCTGAGCACGATTCTGTATTTCCTTTACCGTGTTCTGACGTGAGTTCGGATCTTCACGTTTAACAAGTACAGGCTGGGTAAATTTAAGTAATGCTGAAATTGCATTCATAAAAATAATATTAAACATCGTTTGTACCAAAATATAAAGTATCAATTAAAATCAATGTTTCTTAATATTTATTTTTGATCTAAAAAAATTGAAGAAAATTTTACATTTTAAATGAAAATTTATACATTTTTTTACTACTAGTTTTAATGCTTAAAATCTTAAAATTTAAAATACTTTTAAAATACTAAACTGCAGAAAACGTACTGTAAGCAGTAAATTCAACATGATGTGTACGATCTTAACGATCTTAAAATAAAAACATTTATAAACAAAATTTCACCACAAACAAACAAAATTCATAATGACCATGCATCGCACACCAAAAACTACTTCTCATTCAGGATAACTTGTCAAGTGATGATATCATAGTAGTAACAGAAAATTAAATAATTATGGACACTCTAATAAGCTGGCATAATAAAACAAACTATGACACCATTGTTACCTTTTGACTGAAACTATTTTAACATAATTCCAGATATAATTATGTCCGTGTAAAATTAATATAGACTTCAATAAGTAAGTACCAGCTAATTAGTTTTTCCAAATATGATTAAATCTGTTCACAATGACTATCTCAAATAACAATTTATCCTAAATGATCAGTAGTCAATCATGTCAAACACAATCTATCATGCTGGACAACACTGACCAAAATCAAACCCATACTACCAGTAAGCAATTCCCTCTTGTTTGAGAGTAAAATTAAGAAAACCAGTGCCAGACCTAAGCTAAGTAAATTGATTATGTTCTTAATAGAGAATAAGCTTTATGCTGAGATTTTCAAGGTGTCTGCAACTTTTAAAAATGGGTCAAAGACAGAAAAGGCCAGGTTGCATATGTATACAAAATATCATGAGGCTGTGATGTTACTTAAATTTTCTACTACTGTCTGACCATTGATGTTGAAAATTTAACTTAGTTGGTAAACCTGAAAAGAATGAGCATCAGACCTGAAATGGAATCCCACAATATGGGACCACAGTCATGTCAATGCTGTGAACCACATATCAAAAGGCTATGATTAGTAGTTGCTGAGAAAACTGTTATGAAAATATCCTACTATTGACCATTAATGTTGAAAATTTAATAAGTCAGCAAACAGGAAGTAGATGAGCGACAGACCGGATATCGAATCCCACAGTATGGGACCATGTGTTGATGCTGTATACCAAATATCAAAAGGCTATGATTAGTAGTTGCTGAGAAAACTGTTACGAAAGTTTTTTCCCCGCCCGCTGCCCGCCCGCCTGGACGCCCGCCCGCCCGCCGCCCAACATTCACCATACTATAACCCGGGTTTGCACCAGTGCAACCCGGCCAAAAACCCTAAAAGTTAACATATGTTATTTCAATTCTCTCCACTGCATAAACATTATAGTTTTCTTTAAATAATAGTCTTTTTTAAAAGTTGGACAAGTATTTTTAATTCAATTTTTTTTTCAACAGACCCTCTTTCCCACATACAGACTATTACTTTTCTTTACATTTTGTGGCTATAAAAGTATGTGAACGCGACCTGGAAATTGGTTTACCAATGAATGAAGATTGCAAAAATGGGTTTCCTATGCCGTAAGTATAGAGCCTAATTAATTTAACTATTCTGATATTAAATTCTTTCCAACAGTGTACTCTCGAGAACTTGGCAAATCTCCGTGTTTCACATCTTATCACGAGGTACTAATAAATTTTTACAGTTAAAACTTAATAAACATATTAAAATAATAAGTGAAGCATGTTGATAAAATTCATTATAAACAGTAGTGCAAAATGATCTTTTTGTACCCCTGGATTAGATGGGAAAAACCCTCAGTTCTGGACAACGTCTATTCAAGACCAAACACATTCAACCTATACAAAATTAATTCAATTTAAGTAAGGGTTAATTTGCAATACAATGAAAATCAAAATTATATTAAAATAGGACACAAAATTAAATAGTTAATCAGTAACATTAAAGCTAGATTCACTACTACTGTATGAGCCTACAGCATTCTATATTTAAATATTAACTTTTCTAAAATTAGCTTCACTAATACAACCTTTTCCAAAATAAGCTTTTCTACAATATTGGAAGAAAGGAAACATTCTTACTGCTATTAGAATATAATTTGATGAAAAAACCATCAATTATTGTTTGAATTATTAGGATTCTTTTTTTATTGTATAAACTTATTTGATGCATGAAAAGAATTTAGGACCAATCGCAACGTTCGTACTTTATTAATGCACAGAGACTAAGGTGCGCGGTCATGCAATTTGACAGAATGACTGACCTTCAGAAGGCAGTATCAAAAAATTCTTCACATTTGCAATTGGCCTATACAATTATCAAATCCAAAGTAGATAAAGGGCAATAACTCTGTTTTGACCAGTTCCATGGTCTATCATATATAATACTACAGACTGTACCTTAATGTCGCCTTTTATTTGCTTTCAAACATTTTTACCAGGTTGAAATAATGGGGGAAAAGGTCTGCAAAATGCACAAAATGTAACTAAAGACAATGCATAGAGGCAAAATAGCTATATTATCCTCTTTAACAGTGGCTATTACCAATTAAGTTTCATACAAATCTAGTGCCAAAGCATAAAACATACTGAAATAAAACATAGGGGAAAAGAATAAGAAATACAGTGACTTCATTCTTTTCTAAACTTAAGACACATTCTGTGCAAATCTTAATGCCCTAAACATGCTGATTTTTTTTTTTTGCCGCGGCATGCTAAATTATTAACACAGTGCTTGATTCTATTACTTCAAATGGCCACCTTCTCACTTCTTTATATTTGAATTGAGTGTTTTTAACTGATTCAAATTCATTTTACAAATTTAGAAACCTAGCGTTTTGACCTATTTCTATAGTTGATTTTGTTAGCCAAGATATTTATTTTCAGATTTTTCTTCTCATTAAATCTTTACCGAATAGTGGCAACTGAACCAACCAATGCCACCTGGAGTGCAGATCAAGATCAGCCGAAATGTCAGTGCCATCTGATCATGGCCTGCACTAACCGCTATTCAGTCAATACATACATGTACTTTCTATTTTTAAATTTTTCTCTTAAAAATATAATGAATTGATTTGTCTAGATTGAAAAATAGACTATTTCAGATATTTAGTATGGAAAGGATTAATCACATTTGCCATTTTTGACTCCTGTAAAAGATTTTGTAAAACTTGCATTTTTGAGAAAGTGGCCTTGAAAAAATCAGAGTTAAAGTACCTGATATCAGGAACATTTCATTATTCTCGGCTCTTGAGACAAAACTCGGTAGTTCCAAGCAATAGAATGCTGTCAATACATCAAAGAATGAGGAGTGAGGTGCCCCACATATAACTGGGGCATCACTAGAAGTCACCCGTTTGCCTTTTATTTTCATGTTTTGGAAGCCAATACAAAACGTCATAAATCGTCCTAAATACAGACATGGTGTCCCGATGATTCTGGGAAGTACAAAGTAAAACAGTAAGCTAAAAGCAAAGTTTTCCTAAATCATAAAATCTAAGACTGTTTGGAAATCTGCCTTGAGGAATAGTTCCTCGTCTTTGAAGAAGGGCATATTCACATAGATACAGTATAGAAAATAAAATACTACCCACAAATGCTGAGAAATTGAATACACTAATCTTAATTTACAATAAGTTTAAGATATATTTGCATGTTTTTTTCATCATATTTTCAAACCATTGTTCAAAGAAAGTTATCACTCTAAATCAATTTGAGTAAATCTAAATCTGCATTCAAAGTAATAAATGAAACTGTGTCTAAATCTTTAATGTAAAATTTTCAAAAGCTCTGTGTTAAAATTTAGCCCATGTTTTGCAGTGTTGCACAGACAGATTTCCATACAGTACAAAGAAATGGCGATTCTTTTAAGCAGATCATGCCATTCTATTAATGACATTTCTATTTCAAGCATTTAGCGGTGCATACATGTATATAGGTAGCCATTTTCTTGCATAATATACATCATACACAAACTTAATTTCAAATCATTATTTAGAAACAAATATGCTCATTACTAATTCAATCTTGAACCTTTAAACGCAAAGTTCTTTTTTCAACAATTATTCAGCTTCATCATATAGTGTTCAAACAGTAATAGTGCATTTCTCAAATTTTCTGATGTTCTAAAATATTATAACATGTTTCCATGATAAATAGTATGGTAGGACTTTGAGTAAACCTGGTGATTGAAAAGGGTCCTCACTTTAAAGCAGATTTCTTTGATAACCTCTTGCTGAAACCCTAAATTTCTTTGTTATATGATTTTGAAGTTGATGGTTAAGTAAGCTACATGTAAGACAAAATAGATTCCTCTCTGACTAACAAAGAACAAAGACATGTTGGTGAAGTGTTTGGTTATTTACAGTTTGACCCCCTTTCTCAGTTATAAAGAACTATGACATGATGGTGAAACAATTGGTTATTGACAGTTGAATCCCCTTTCTCACATACAAAGAACTAAGACATGATGGTGAAACAATTGGTTATCAACAGTTGAATCCCCTTTCTCACATATAAAGAACTATGACATGATGGTGAAGCAATTGGTTATTGACAAACTAAATGGTGAAGCAATTGCTTATTAACATTTGGATCCCCTTTCTCACATATAAAGAACTAAGACATGATGGTGAAACAATTGGTTATTGACAGTTGAATCCCCTTTCTCACATATAAAGAATTAAGACATGATGGTGAAGTAATTGGTTATTGACAAACTAAATGGTGAAGCAATTGCTTATTGACATTTGGATCCCCTTTCTCACTTATAAAGAATTAAGACATGATGGTGAAGCAATTGGTTATTGACAAACTAAATGGTAAAGCAAATGCTTATTGACATTTGGATCCCCTTTCTCACATATAAAGAATTAAGACATGATGGTGAAGTAATTGGTTATTAACATTTAAATTCCATTTCTCACATATAAAGAACAAGAACATGGTGGTGAAGTATTTGGTTATTGACAGATGGAATCCAATATCTCACCAACAAAGAACACAGACACAATAGTCATAAATGGATCACGTTTCTCACTAATAAAGAACAAAGGTACATAGTACACGAAACTAGTCATTCAGGTACATAAAATATTTTAGATCCTTTATCCAATATACTATTTAACATCAATCTAAATCATTTCAATTTTTATATTTAACATAGATCATTTTGTCAGATATAGAGCTGTTATCACTGCAGAGCTTGTACATGTATACAAATATTAAATATTTCCATCTCTATTTACATGTATTTCTGGCATATTCTTGGTAAAGCTCAAATAGTTTCAAAGCTGTACAAACTGGCATTGACAGGGTTTTTTTTATTCCTACTTAAAAATAACAGAAAGATTTCTTCCGACTTTAAGCTTGAAAACAAAAGAACTGTAGAGTACAGGGGAAAAGAAGCCTCAAAACAAAATCCCAACATCTTAATCTGTATAGGTTAAAAAAAGACCTGTTTCTTTCAAAATATTTTCATTTTTTTCCAAAAAACTTATTCTGCAATTTCTTTGTTTACCTAGTCCAAGAATTAAGCCATTGGGGTTTTGTTAAAATACCACATTATGCACCATCTTAAGCTGAAAAAAAATAAAATAAAATAAAAACAATACCAAAACATAAATATACATGCAACATGCTTCTCCTTCTACCCATAATGCATCATTATATTCTGGTGCCCGGCATCCAACTAGATCAAAAAACTTCTGCACCATTTGTACAAAACAAAGAATTTAAAAATTGAATAAGTACCAAAATAACCTCTTTAATGTAATAATCAAATAATTTAATTTCAATTAAAGCTTTTTAAATTATAATCCTCACTTGTCTTAAGGTGTTTAACTTTGAGTATGTTTTGCAACAGGTATATTAAATCAAATTAATTCAGGGTGAGGTTCCAACTGCAAATTTTTGCTTTTTTTAAAAAAAATTTGTGAGTTCAAAACATTTTTACTCTCAGAATTCACAATCAATTTTCACAGAAAATTGTAATTTACTTTTTAATAACCTTTAAAATCATTATTAATTATATATTTTTTGCACTTCCTGTAAATAAATTTATTGGAAAAATAACTGGCACTTCACTTTGTACCTTCATTCTGAAAGTTTGTGAAATTGAGCCCTCTAATGTCCATAAAAATGATACAAGTTTTCTCACTGTATTTTTAGCCGCAACTGTACAGTTCTTTTGGTACTTATTCCTTAAAATATTCATTATTTTTACAACAGGGCTTATAAGACAAGATCACTTTAAGGGCAGCAGCACAATTTACAGACATATTTTTTCTTTCCGTACTTCCAAATATTGGTGCCGATGCTATTCCTGCCTTCGCAACTACGGATGTTAAATCCAGGAACACTACAGGTAGTGCATCAAAATAAGACGAATGTGGTGCCGTGACCAGGACCGCTGCCTCAGTGGGTGGGGCTCTCACGCCTTTAACAGAGACATGGTGAAAACCACCAGCGAAAAATACACATCTACTCAGGAATGATATGATTGGCCGCAGTAAATAGCTAGAAAAAAATTTTGTTTAATATTCTTATTAGTATGTACAAAAAAACACGGCACATTTCACTGCAAACTATAAAATGCTGAATTACAATATTAATTCAAAAGGTAATAAAAGTAACAAAATCTTATGGGGGCATTTTACATTCCACATGTTTATTAATATTAAAACTTCTTTCTTACAAGTCACTGATTTACAACTTCTTACTTCAACACTTCATTCTTTATAATAACATTATTTACACTAAAATTTTCTGATCTCAACCATCGAGGTGCAACCATCTGGTGATTAGTTGGACTCACTTACCCTTGTGTATTTTTAATATTATTTCAATTACATGTAAGTACTGATTCCTCTGAAGTTTAACCCCATATATCACCTATTACTTCTGATCTTTTCAATTTTTATTATGAAGTTTATTAAAAAAAAAAAGCACCAAAAAAAAAAACATGCAAAACACCATATTAGGTCACATTTAATTTGAAATCAAATCAAAGCAAGAAATAAAGTTCCTGAAAGGCACTTTCAACATGTATAGAAGTAAGAGGTCATAAACTTTACATCAGGAAGTTGAAGCACAGAAGAGTACTGAGCCAAATAATACATTAAGAATGTAAAGAAGTAGGAAAATAAAATGTCCCCATAGAGTTTCCATAGTAACTGCAAAATATATATACTGATCAATTCGCATTCCTAAATTAGTAAAAACAGCAAACTTTTGAACTATGTGTACTGGATAATAAAACTAGTTCAGATAATGTAGACATGACGAAAGTCACAATTATTTTTTATCTGGTCAATGATGGCTACTTCTCTAACATTGCAAAGAAAAAGATCACAGTAAAAGTTCAACAGATAAAGCCATATCAAATATTTAATTTTGTTTTTCTATATTATTTTTTCTTGAGTCTTCAATTTCAATATCTTATCTAACACAAAGAATAATAATTATGACAATGATATTTATTACATGAAAATGTTTATGTGTAAGATATAATTTTACAAGTAAGAATGTGTTGGTATATAACAAACTGTAAGTTAAATAAAACTGTGGAAAAAAAGTTATTTTCATTTGGAACTCTCCAGGCCTGCTGGCGGCATCAAAATCTCACTGAGCGATCAGTCCACACCAAAATCAGCCGGCACATCTGTACCATCTGATCATGGTCTATACTGTTGGCTATACATAGTCTATTCAGTTACTATATGTTTTGAAATTTTTCATAACAAGAGCTGTCACAGGAGACAGCGAAGCTCGACTAATAAAATACTGGACGCAGTAAGGAGGACAAAACTATGAAAGAAAAATCAATTATGTATAATTATGTATTAAGTTATAGTAAAAAAATAACATTTGTTAACATTAATTCCAAGGTCAAGGGGAATAATTCTAAAAATAGTCATGCTAGAGTTATGGACCTTGTCACACAACATTTGTGTAATGATAAGAAATATATATTTGAAGTTTGAAGTAGATACCTTAAAAAGTAAAGAAGTTATTATATTTCTTAAAGAAAATCCTAAGTTCAAAGAGAGATAAATCTGTAAATATTGCTTCAAGAGTTATGAACATTGTCACATAAAATGTAATTGATGATAAGGAATAAGTATTTGAAGTTTGAAGTAGATACCTTAAAAAATAAAAATGTTATAATAAAAATAACATTTTTCTAGTAAAAAAATCTAAGTTAATAGGGAGATAATTATTGCAATATTGGTGCTAGAGTTATGAACCTTGTCACATAAGATGTGGATGATGATAACGTAAATATATTTTAGGTATGAAGTTGATCCCTTTAGAAATAAATAAGTAACAGTAAAAAATAATATTTTTTATGGAAAATTCTAAGTTCAAAGGGAGATAAATCTGAAAATATTGGTGCTAGAGTTATGAACCTTGTCACATAAGATGGGGATGATGATAACGTAAATATATTTGAAGTATGAGGTTGATCCCTTAAGAAATTAAGAAGAAACAGTAAGAAATAGTATTTTTTGAGGAAAATTCTAAGTTCAAGGGGAGATAAATCTGAAAATATTGGTGCTAGAGTTATGAACCTTGTCACATAAGATTGGGATGATGATAAGGTACATATATTTGAAGTATGAGGTTGATCCCTTATGAAATAAAGAAATAACAGTAAAAAATAATATGTTTTAAGGAAAATTCATGCAAGGGGAGATAAATCTGAAAATATTGGTGCTAGAGTTATGAACCTTGTCACATAAGATGCGGTTGATGATAAGGAACATATATTTGAAGTTTGAAGTTGATACCTTAAGAAATGACAAAGTTATAGTGAAAAATATTTTACTGCACCAAAACTTTAATCTAAAATCTGGACGCGGACGCGGACGCCGACGCCGACGCCGGGGCGAGTAGGACAGCTCTCCATATACTTCGTATAGTCGAGCTAAAAATGATTAATGGTTTAACTTTTGTCCGTATTATTGAAAGATGGACAAGACCATTTAACCTACTATATTTGAGCCACGTCATGACAAAACCAACATAATGGGTTTGCGACCAGCATGGATCCAGACCAGCCTGCGCATCCGCAGGGTTCCCGCTGTCGCCCGCCAATGGCGCCAAATGCGACAAAATATTAATTCTGGCGCATAAAATCTTTAATTGGCGAATTTTACTGGCGCCAACGTAAGATAAAAGCATCCGACAACTAGTACACTTAAATGTCATAAGCGGCCGCGTCAATTACATAAGCGGCCCAAATGTGAAAGGTCACGCGCTATTAGTTTGTTTATCGGTACCGTATTATCAATTATGTCATCAATTGTGTGACACTTTGGGAACATGTGAAGATGAGAGTGGTAATTTGTTAATTGGAACAATTTACAACTTGGAGCACTGATAATTACATGTGTGGTCAACAGGTGTTAGTAGCGAACAGAGAAGTGAAAGATCGTCCGTGATGTTGACAAACCTTAAACTTTAGGTAAGTTGACTCAAATAATTACAGTTTGAATATTAAATCGGATGACATTTAAAAGAATAATTTCACTAATGATTGATCTAAAGCCACTGTTACTGCAATGTTAATATTTTCATATCTGATTGTAAAGGGCTGAAGTGTCTATTTATATGCAAACCCTATTAAAATAAACAATATTTTTCATTGTTAAAAATACTTAGTATCTATTTCATATTTTGTTCTCATTGATTTTTAGATGAAGTCAATTTATAGTAATGTTTTGTTTTTTTTATTTTGTATCTGTAGATCACCAGATTGTCGGGTAGAAGCTGTGAAAGATCTTGGCTCAGTCCAGCCTGTGAGAAGAACTGCTATACTGGCAAAACAGTGGAAAACAGGATGACTAACTTAATATGATGTTCTTGATTACATTTATGCTGTCATGTGTATTTATTTAAATAGAATTTGAAAACCACATAATAGTATGTCTATATTTTAGATAATAAACATGTGCAGCTGTAATAAATGAAATATTATAAATATGTGTTTGTAATCATAATGATATATAACTGCTAGCATATCTTAGTAAAGATAGGCATGTCTCCCTTGCAGAATTATTGGCTCCAACTTTGGAGCCATTGGCTCCAACTTTTTCTGATTGGCGAATTTGGTGGCGCAAACTAATTTTGACCCAGAGGGAACTTTGATCCGCACAGTCTGATCAGGATCCATGTTGTTTGCTATCAGTTTCTCTACTTGTAATAGACTTGGTAAGCTAACAGCATGGATCCTGATCAGACTGCGCGGATGCGCAGGCTGGTCTGGATCCATGCTGGTCACCAACCCATTATGTTGGTTTTGTCATGACGCGGCTCATTTCTATAATGGATCTGTCCGGCTTTGAATCTGAAACAGTCCATTTTAAGTTTAAGGGATTTCAATATCAAAATACAAAAGTTAAGCTGCCAACAGTATAGAGCCTGGTCAGACTGCATGGATGTGCAGGCTGACCTGGCTCTATACTGTTGGCAAAGGCTAATCACATTTGCTTCCAGCAGATTAAGGGTTAAGATATTTAGTAAGGAATACTTATATAACATGGTTTTATCATGAACTGTATGAATTTGCGGTAAATTTGTGCCAAGAATCAAGGTGCAAAAACTAATTAGTAAAAACAAATAATCTTGTGAAGTGTCGTCCTTAGCAAACTAATCAGTGCTGAAAAAACTGAATAAGTGGAACTCCCAGCTAAGAAACCTGGCTGACTTGATTATTATTTCCTATAATCAATACAAACTACAGAATATGTTCTATGACAAAATTTGTTTTGAAAAAAAAACAACAAAATAAAACAACAAAAAAACCATGGACTCACTGCAGGATGAATTATTGAACAGCAGGCCTTAAATTTTAACTTACAGGGATTATTCACATTACATAACTGAGGCCTGTAGGTTCTTAACAATCAAAATTTTCTTTAAAATTGTGCAGTTTTCAAAAAATCTGGACTTACACCAGCTTTTTTACTGCCCAAATTTGCACTTTTCCCCCCCAAAATCAAGAAACTATGGACTTTTAATAAACGGTCATAAACAACTAACAGACCTAATCAAGTAAACAGGTTCGACATGGTTTGAAACATGTTGATATAATTTAAGGACAAACTATGATGATCTATCATTCACAATAAAAGAATACCAGAACTGTTAATTTAGATATGCACTTGATGTTTTATTTTTGAATTAACAATGGTTTCTACAATTTTTTGTCATCTATAGTCTTTTTAATTTCCCTAACTCCATTACAATCACTGTATAGTTATACATTTATCTTTATTTTGAGATGTACCGTAAAATTCCTATTTAATGCCCCCGTGGGCTAAACATTTTCCAAAAGGGGGGCTATTATTACAACACAGTTTTTCCTCAATCCAAAAATCATTGTAAATACATTTAGTGTTAGCAAGTGTTGGTAATAACATTAAAAGGTGTTAAGATTTTAAAGTTCATACTATAAAATAAAATGGATTCTGAATGATTTGAATGAAATTATGGATTTACTCAATGAGTTCAGCACTGATGAGTAGATTGTAACTTTGTTTTTCTTAACAAAAGGCCTGGGGGGCCTTTATTAGGGGAGGGCGTTTATTAGGAATTTTACGGTATATAGAAATTGAATAAACTGAACATTTCAATAAGCCTATCCTACATGTAAGGCAGAGTCTTCTTGGGTTTTTTATGTTTGCATCATTATTTTATCAGTATTTCAACACTAAAACAGGGAAAAAACCTTGTTCTTGGTTGTAATTTATAAAAACAACTTTGGTATTCAAATAAGGAAGTACAATATTTAATGTAATTATATACATATAAATGACAACATAAAAATTTTAGGAAGCTATAAAATGTAGATATGGGAGTTGTTTAAATGTCAATGAAACAAATATATAATTATATGAGAATATTTAAAACAAAAATTGAATTACAATAGAAAAAGAAAAAACAGAATTTGCATAATTATTTGAAATTCATTAAAAAAGTGTATTAATTTTAAACTAAATATTCTTCTTCATTTGTATCATTGGCTTGAAAATTGTGACCTTCTGTTTTAAATATTTATAGAAAAAGTACCCTAGTCTATCTTCAAATACGTCTGAAAATGGAAAGTCTGAAAATGGAAAACTTGACCTTTTGACCCATAACCTTCTGGCAACATAGATTCCACCTATACAAAAAGTTCAGACCCAGATCAGCCTGCCATTTTTGTACTGTCTCATCATGGTATGCAAGTGTTTGATATTCAATCAGTACATATTTTGAAATTTTCATGTGCCCAAGCAACCGCTTAAGCGGTACTCAATTCTCAACACTTAATACTGCTGGCATCAATGATCCCGAAGGGCCAGAAAATATAACAACAGCGAATTGAAGTATGGGGTAACTTTTTACAGCTGCCACATAAGTGCTACACTTGACACCAGCTGTTTGTCAGACTGTCCTTGTTAAGTTCATATGAGCCGCGTCACCACAAAACCAACACAATGGGTTTGCGACCAGCATGGATCCAGACCAGCCTGTGCATCCGTGCAGTCTGATCAGGATCCATGCTGTTCGCTTACCAACCCTATTACATGTAGAGAAACTGATAGCGAACAGCATGGATCCTGATCAGACTGTGCGGATGCGCAGGCTGGTCTGGATCCATGCTGGTCACAAACCCATTATGTTGGTTTTGTCATGACGCGGCTCAATTATCAATTGAAATGAAAATAAAGTTGTGTTTGCTATTTTAAGGTCTTAATCAACACACATCAGAAGCCAGGAAAATAAAATATTGTGCTCTCTTAACAAATAATTAGTTTCTTTCTTTAGAAACTAATCACTTGTCTCAAGTTTTCAAAGATCCACTGTAGAGGAAAAAATCTATACCACAATATCATTTGTCACAGCTTCCCCATCAATGATTTCAACAAAAGAATATCCAGCAGATATGCTGGTTAGTTGTTCTTTAGTAATGTCAACTCTTGCCTCCTTTCACACAGTTACTGGTTATAATTTACCATGTGTTTTTACTTCTATCAGTAATGAACTATTGCCATGGTAACATTATACACTGTATTACACTTTTTACAAATCTTGTTATCAGATGTGAAGGGCTATTTTCAGATGAATTAATTTTCTTTTATAAAAGCAAAAGAAGTGTCAAAAACCATATGTTATAATAAATAAAATCATTAATAAATCATTAAATGACTGTAAATGTAAGTCTTGGCTTCGAAAAATCAATGTGTCTATGTCACCTAGATGGAATGAAGTCAGATTACAGCTTGTAATATAATCTAGATCTATAGTTGAGCCGTGCCATGACAAAACCAACATAGTGCGTTTGCGTCCAGCATGGATTCAGACCAGCCTGAGCATCCGTGCAGTCTGATCAGGATCCATGCTGTTCCCTATCAGTTTCTCTACTTCTTTTAGGGTTTTAGGGCAAGCAGACAGCAGGATCCATGCTCGTCGCAAACACACTGTTGGTTTTGTCATGCCGCGATTCAATTATGATGATGATATGAAATTATTCAGTTCAACAGACACATCCATTTCAGCTTTGAAATCATTAGGAAAAAGATGGTTGATGCATATGAAAGATTTTGTATGAGCATACTTTCATTTTATAAAATGATATACATGTTACGTAAAAATATTAGATATATCATTTTTATAAGCTGTTAATGCCATAAAATATTCATAACATTTGAAGATTTAGATACCTTGTAACTTGGGTATTTAAAAATGAGAAATTGAAAATTTTTTCGATGGCCAGATGGGATCTCTCCCTAGTGGCGGAAAATTAAAATTGGAAACCCTGCATGTATAGCAGTATTTATATTTTCTGTATGCATGTATATATATACAAATATATGTAAAGCATCATATTGTGTGCAAGTGTGCTCTCCTAATTATATTATTATTGTCATATTTATAGATACAAGAAATTGTAAATTGCCATTTATATAAGCTAGTGTAAAAACAATTACATAATATATATATATGACATTCAACGTTACACAACCAATCTATAATAGAACAGATTGATTCTCATTAATATTTCACATATTTTCCCAATATGTATTATTTAATGCAGCAACAGCAAATAATGTGTTTAACAAGTAATAAGTCACATACATACAATTAATTTATGTTAATAATTAATTAGATTTTTGTGGATACATTTTTTATTATCAAATTCTACAAGTTTACTCAAATTCTTATCATTTTAATCAATGAGCTCAGGGCATCCATTAAGTGCCAAAGTTTGGAAGTCAGAGACTGCAAAATGTCTGACATTGGAAGTCACATTATATAGGTAAAAAAGGAAAAGAGTAATAGTTTGTAAGTAAAGGACTAAATTAATGACTCCCAAACTTCCACTAATGGAAACCCTTATAATAAAGCTATCCCAATAGCTCTCCCTTTTTGATATTTAACATCACAGTTCTGTAAAATTTCAATGAACTTAAAACTAACTTAATTAAACAACATTTCAGGTAATGGTCAATTAACTCTGTGTAACTGATGATTTTTAACATTTGAGCCGTGACACGACAAAACCAACATAATGGGTTGGCGACCAGCATGGATCAAGACCAGCCTGCGCATCTGCGCAGTCTGATCAGGATCCATGCTGTTCGCTTACAAACCCTATTACAAGTAGAGAAACTGATAGCGAACAGCATGGATCCTGATCAGACTGCGCGGATATGCAGGCTGGTCTGGATCCATGCTGGTCTCAAACACACTATGTTGGTTTTGTCGTGACACGGCTTATTTGTAAATCTGAAAAATGTTTGAAATTATGGTTATACAATAATATGAAATAACTTACTTTCTCCAACCTGACAATGGCTGGTTCTGCTCCTCTTTACTTCTGAATGAAACAGCCAGCGCAGCAAGAGGCCAAGCCAATAGTAAAGAAATACCCACTAATAATAACCTTAAAGGGGCTATCGTCACTGACATAAATGCAACCTGTAATAGTAGAAGAAATGAATTATAAATTTGATACTATAGTAATTTCAGTATTCAAGGGGGGACTTACTGCTCATATCAAGTAAATAAACTTTCATTAAATCAAATATATGTATCTTAAGAACATTTGAAGTTGAACTTGTCAGTCCTGCCCAAGCTGTCAAAACTGACATATGGATATAAGATTAGCAAGTTTTATTCCTGCTTTATTGTTAAATGGTCAAGTATAATATCTTCATTTGCAGAAAAATCTAGTTCATAATGATAATGTTTCATTTTTGTGTCCTCTGCTACTTAAGTTGCAGTGTCATATAGGAATCATTTCTCCGTCATTGTCCATAACAAAACTTGTTTAGACTACTCCTCAAAAACTACTAAAAAAAACTTCTCAAAGATTATACATTCTTGCAAAAAGTTCAGCGAGACCAACAAAAAGAATAAATGGACAAACAAAATATATTATTAAAAATTCTCAAACCCTTAAACTCTTATGTCAAAATAATTTTAGCTGTTCTACCATATATCCTGAAACAACCATTTTTCAATCAAAACCTAAATGCGAACACATTCTAAATTCTGCGGCGCTGATGTCATGTCAGGGTAAATTGCATAAAGTCACAAGTGTATTAACTCCTGCAGAAATGCCATACTTGATTGTCAGATATTATCAGATAAACAATAAGAAACTGTTTAACAATGTAAATTGTCCAACTTTAACTACATCAAAATAGTCACTTGTTAAAAATAGTGTTAAAAAAATTCCAAACATGTTAAATTTTTTATTAAATATTGGCTACAGCACTTTACCATTTACCTCAGTCTTATGTGTATTTAAAATAACTATCTATATGAATTGATTTACCACTAAATATTTATCAAACTTTACATAGGGGTTCTTATTAATAAAATCTTAATCAGTTTTCAAGTATTTTCAAGTGATGACTGTAGAATAGATATTTTGTAAGTGATACCTTCTAGCAGATCTAGGCAAGTTTCCATATTTGGTAATATTATAAAGTGGGGAAGGATGGATTGTTGGATGCATTTATCATTTTGCACCCCAATTAGCATACTAAGTAGTGACACCTTCAACTGCCCTTTTGAACACTTGACCAGTAGCCATACAATGTACCAACACATTGTACTGTACATTGTATATGTTATAATTTTTAGTGTAAGTTTTCTAAAATCATGAAAAAAATGTTGAAAATCTTTGAATAGACTGTTGTGAAATTTTCTACAATTTTTAGAAGTCCTGGCATATCTTCAATTCTTGTATCAAATTTTTTTAGTTTATGGTGGGAATGACCTGAGTGCCAGAGTGGGTCATATTGTTTTTATTTATTTTCTAAGCAAGATGAAGTCTTTAACTTAAAATGAATAAATGTTGATACAACATGTAGATGCATTACTAGCTAAAATATATTTATTTATAAAAGGATCATTTCCCCTTCCATTTAATAGCTTAAAGGGACTCTACTGGTTTTTTTTGACACGATGGGATTGGGACTGAAAATATTTTTTCCAGATAAATGAACCATTTGATGTAGGTTTAGACCACTAATCTTTGTGCAAAATTTCAGATCATTCGCACTTCGTTTTTTCAGAATAATTATTCAAATTCTAAAAAAATGACCCAAAATGAAAAGCGTTTAAACAGTTTTCACTCAAATCGGGCTAAGAAAAGCATAAAAATACGTTTTTCAAGCTATTTCAAAGTATACTTAACTATTTTTGTATATATTTCTGTTTAAAGTGCTCCAGCTCATTCATGTAAGAAATTCAAATGTTATGTTTTTAGGCTTTAAATCTCAGCTGAGTCCCTTTAACTGATTGGATATTGGTTGTTCCATGATATATTTTTTTGCTTAAAGCTACAAATTGAGGTCTCTTTCTCCAAAACACATCTTGCCAAATGTTCTTATCAAAACCCTAAGTTTGCCGGCAAATGGCTGCAATAATAATAATATCTCATTGATATCTTAAATTTTTACCCATTTACCCACAAATTATCACCACTTGTGGAATAGCACAAAGGCTAAAATGCTTTGAAATTTCTTATTTTCTGTAATAAAGATTAAGAACTGTTTAAAATGACTAATTAATGCATTATTGCACTGCTGTTTGCATAAAATAAATGTAAACTTTCAAATTTAGCACGCTAAAAGGTTTTGAAAAATGAATCTCGGCAGTACAGCCTGCGGGCCTGGCTACCCCCCCCCCCTTTCACACAAAAAAAGGGGTTTGCCTAACATACGAAAGTGAGATTTTTGACGAAAGTGAGCGAAAGTGAGCGAAAGTGACTTTTAAAATTTAAATTGCACCGTTTTAATAGAAGTTTACAGTAAAATTGTTGTTTGAAGACGTATACTATTAGCAACTTATTATATATATCATAATAAATAACCATAATCATGATTAAATCGCCATTTATTTGCCTAATTTCTATATTCAAGTTTAGTTACCTTCCCTTTTGCTGGCATAGAAAAATACGAAAGTGACTTGTAAACTATTAGAAATAGAGTTTAAATTGAAAATGTATTAAATTAGGCCAGAATATGCAATATTAGTAGTATAACTTTCAATTCAACGCTTTATTTCATATTTGACAAGTCACTTTCATATTATTTAATGTGAACGAAAGGAAGATGTCAGAACTTGTGTATAGATATTATGCAAACAAATGGTGATTAAATTATCATAATGATTATTTTTGAAAATAAATATTATATATTTCTTATAATATACGTCTACAAGCTGCAATTTTAGTATAAATTTCAATTTAAACTCTATAAGTAGACTTCTATATTTAAAATTTTACAAGTCACTTTCGTATTTTTCAAAGTGAGCGAAAGGAAAGTTTCAGAACTTGTGCATAGAAATTATGCAAATAAATGGCGATTAAATCATCATAGTGATTATTTTTGAAAAGAAATATTATAAGTTGCTAATAATATACGTCTGCAAATAGCAATTTTACTATAAAATTCTATTAAAACGGTACAATTCAAATTTTAAAAGTCACTTTCGCTCACTTTCGCTCACTTTCGTCAAAAATCTCACTTTCGTATTTTAGGCATACCGCAAAAAAAGAAGAAAAATCGTCGTGAATAACTCACTTGTATCATATCCAGATAACCCAAATGTACCTTGTGCACGAATGGATTTTGAATTTCTGGAACAATCAATGATTGCTGGCGCGGTATTTCTCGCTTCATTTTGCAGTTTTAAAAAAGCATTCGTGTAAAAAGTGAAAACTGTCAACTCTGCTGATGAATCCTTGTTGTTGTTGTGGTTGTTCCCTGTTGGCTACTAATATTATCACGAATACTGTATATCCCGTAATATCGTTGTCATCTTCCGCGTTATTTTTTTTTATTGCATCAAATGAATAAAATCATCTTGAGAAAATATAATTTTGATTGATTTTACGCGGGGTCAAAGATAATTAATAAATATATCAATAACAGCTTATAATGATAATCTACAATTAAAAATTTTCGGGGGAAAACTCTAGTACGGTACAGTACGGAAAATATTGGATTGGTTTTATCCATGTCACCTTAATTACTTTTTAATAATTTACCTGTTCACCTGTACCACTGTAGTTACCTGTGAAATACACGAGTAAGATATCGTTTTTAATTATAATTAATGTTTTATTTATTTGATGAAATATCAGTGAACAATAATTTGCGCAAATTTATGAAATTTTAACATTCACGGTCGTTTTTAACCATACAAGCACATTTTCATATTTCAGGAAGTAAACGTAGTTACTTGAATAACAATATGTGATTTCATTATTTTAATTTCCTCTTTCTATAGTCTTTATCTAGTTTTGTTTACATTTAGCACATAATTGTTTGATACATAAAATAACTATTTTTATTCTAATTATCAATATTTTCTGAATGACATTTTATTTGAACAAATAAATTGAATGGTCAATGTTTTATTTTTCAGACAAAACAGATTTGTAATGTGGGACTTCTTTAAATTACGTAGGAGAGCAAGGCGATTGACACAGGCTAATGAAAATTCACTAACAGTTGAAGATGAAGAAGAAAGTTGTCCGTATAGTAACAATGTTACTGGAAGCAGATCAATCACGCAACCATTCTTTATACCAACACAGCCTATATCAGAATCACCCCCAAAATGTTTAAGTCGGCTGCCTTGCTCTCAGATACTGTACGGAGAGAGGGTTGAGGACTTTTCAACAGATTGTTGGCTTGAAAATCACCTTCATCGCTTTGGTTTGCCTTCAAATAATCCTCTCAGTATTACAACTAATGTGTCAAGAAATTCTCCACTTTACGAAGAAAATGATGACAGCGTCACTGGGAGTAGTGAATCTGCTAGTAGCTTAATAGATTTTTTTGACCTTGACATCCAAAATGACTTTGATTTTACAGAGTCACGGCCTAGACTAGCATTAGAACAATTGTTTATCCCACTTGGGGAAAGCGATGTTGATGAACCTTTTGACGGTTGTGAAATTATTGAACCTCCACCATACAGTGAATTTGATCCACCTCCAACTTACGAAGAGGCTGTACAGCATTCTGAAAGACGTAGCACAGGCAATAGATCTTCTAGTTCTAATGGATCAAGTCTTGCTTTTATGTGGTAGCAAAAACAACAAAAAAGCAATTTTATTGAATGTTGAACAAGTATAGATAAGTAACTTCACTGTTAATAAGTTTATATCAATACTATCCTGGTATGAAATGTTATAACTATATTTAATATGTCCTAAAATATTTCAAAAATGTAATAAATCTATTTTGATAGATATTTTTTTTTAATTTCTGTTTATACATTTGAAAATTTAGGTTCTTCATTGGAATCCAAATAAAACTTAATGGTTATGAAACCTAACAGATGTATGACAATAAAGCAATAGTTCAGTGTCATTTATTTGTTTTCTAAAACAAGTGAATATATATTGTGAAATGCTTTTGATACTTAACAGTAGATTCAAAGTTTTCAGTTTTATTGCAATTGCTAGAAACAGTTATGAATTAGTGAATCAAAATTACAATATTACAGATATACTTAGATTTTTTGAGATTTTGGTCCAGTTACCATGCTAAATATATTTTACCTGACTTGTCCATCTTTCAATTTGGACAAACCTGTTCATGTTTTTGAAGCGACACATTTTTCAAATTTTTATGGACTAAATTTTATAACAAACAATGCAGCAAACAGAATGATGTGCTGGCTGATCTTCGTCTGCACTGGTTACGTTCATAGAATCTGTTGCCACCAACAGATTATTTAATTTGCTTATGAAAACAGTCATTAAAGTTGGTAGGTAAACTATTTGTCTATTCTTATCTCTTATTTTTCAACTTTTTTATTCATACATGTACATATTGTCACCTTAGTGCAATAACGAGTTAAGTCCTTTTAAATTTAATAGGAGTTAACCAGTTATTGCACTAAGGTGATGATATCAAACAGGGAAAGATTGTTTTGGGAAATTGTTATTTTTGTTGTGATGTGTTTTGACATTTAGAACTTCTCATCTAACATGTCTGGTATATTTTGATGAAGTATATAATTGTGTACCCTATATCATCTAATTTGAAATCTATATTATGTATCTCCCATTCTCTCCCATTCAAAAAATGAAAAGTGAGAAGAAAAGCCTTACCATCAAAACATGACAAGATGAAAATGTAATAAATTACATGCACACATAAACTCCTTGGAATAATTTATGTGGTTTGTTTTTTCACATGATAATTATATACTCAAATGTACCAGTACCAAAAGTTTGCCAGTATAATGTGATTCTTTAGTTTTTGTTATTTTTTCACTTTGCCAAATTGCTTATTTGTTTAATTTGCAAATGTCTATAAATATTGAAAAAGATCTGTTATATAGATATTCTGTTTATGTTTTTTAGTGTTTATCTATACAATGTACATATATTTATGTTTATTTATGTATCATTTCAAATAAATTTCTAATTATTCATGGTGAATATAAGAAATCAAACAATGTTACCAATCAATTTGGTAAAAACCTCAGTTATTCTTTGGCATCAATGCAGTTTTATTTTGAAGTGTTTTGTTTTTATTAGTTTAAAGCAGCATGCCTCCAGATGTGCTTCAAAGTAAATTTACAAATTCTGTAAACAGTGAAATTGTTGTTTTCTAAATCACAGTAAAATTATGATTGAAATTATTCATTTAAAAATTCAAACAATAATTTTGTAAAGAAAGCTTATTTGACCCAATTTTGAGCCTACTTCCTCAAACTGACCAATTCTGACGTCATACTAGGAAATGTTACCACTGAAGGACTCAAAGCCATATTAATTGTTATTCTTCTAGAGGTGTCAATTAAGTAACCAAACAACTTTAAATATTGGTGGTACCTCAACCAGTGTAATTCAGTCAGACCTTAAAGTTATTTATATTATGATTGACACAATTTTAGGATATCTTTAATCTTTTGAAACACTTGTGTTTATTTATACATGTACTTTGAAGGATATGAATTGTAATTTTGATTTTATCAATAAATAGCCACTTGAACAATTGAGTTTTTGATACTGTATAAATGATGTATAGATGTATTTGTTTACGTGTGATATCTATATACTATATGATAAAGTACCATAAACTCTTATAATTTCCTTGGCATTAATTTTTTCAATTAAATTTTATTTTTAAAAACTTATAAATGCTATTGTTTAGTAATTATTAGATTGGACGTGATAATGTCCGCAGATAATGATAGTTTGTACATTTTGTTTAAACTTTTGTTAGTACAGTCTACCATGTATATAAACCCTTTTTTACAAATGTGTAATGACTATACATTCACATACCTTCTGCAACTTGGTGCATAGCCTATATTACATAGAAAAATCATTTAAATCATTTCTTTTGTTTTGTTAAGATTCCAGACTATTTACACATTTTATATTTGAAGATATATTATTAAACAAAAATGATTGACAGTAATAGTAATGATTGACAGTATCATTACAGTAATTGCAATGATAAACAATATCACATTACAGTAATTGTAATGATTGACAGTATCATTACAGTAATGGTACTGATTGACCGTATCATTACAGTAATTGTAATGATTGACAGTATCACTATCATAATGGTAATGGTTAATGATTACAGTAATGGTAATGTTTGATAGTATCATTTTAGTAATGGTTGACAGATTCATTACAGTAATGGTACTGATTGACAGTATCATTACAGTAATGGTAATGATTTCAGTAATGGTAATGATTGACAGTATCATTATGTAATGGTAATGATTACAGTAATGGTAATGATTGATAGTATTATTTTAGTAATGGTAATGGTTGACAGATTCATTACAGTAATGGTAGTGATTAACAGTGTCATTACAGTAATGGTAATGATTGACAGTAATGGTAATGATTTCATAGTTATATTTACAAAATACTCTGACAATTTTCTTCTGTTAATATATTTATGTATATTTTATTACTGTTAATCAAACATGTTAAGTTTTAAATATTTTATATAATTGATAAGGATTTATCAAGACTTTTAGCATTGCTCATGTACATGTTATTCTTATGTGAAAATGATGTTAGCATTGTAACATCTTTCTTAACCCATACCATGTTACATATCTAAAATAGATTTGGGTAATTCTTTCAGTTTGGACAAAACCATTTGTTATTTTTACGGGGGAAAATTGAAATAATACTGACTGCAGAATATGATCAGATTTTGGTCTACACAGATTGCATGGGGGATTCTGTTGCCACTTGCAGGCTAAGACTTCATAAACAAAATTCAGATTTTTCACCATTTATTTTGATATTTATATCAAATTTGTCTTATACTTGTACAGATTTATACAATTACAGATTTAAAAATTTTAAATCTTAGATTTTTTTACATTAAAAACTTGACCATGAGACTTGTTTATTTAATCCTTCCATATAAATTAAACCTGCAGAATTTTATGAAAAAAAATGGATTTGCCCAACAATGAATTTGGAACAGTCCACAGCAAACTTAAAGGGATGTCTAATTATTGCTATCTACTGCACAGTATGGAGCCTTGTCATAGTGCATAAATATGATAGACACTTTTATGTGATATTAGTTAATTACTAACTATAGTTATTAGAAACAAGGACTTAAGTAAACTGCCTGCTACTAAGTATGTAACTGAAATCTGGCATTTTATAAAAAAAACAAATTTCTAAAATATTCAGGGTATGTAACTCTTGCCTTCAGGATTTCGCATAATACAATGTGAGAATTGTTATATGTTAAGACTTTCAAATAAATTGTAGACTTTTACCCATGCCCTGTTGGAACCAAAGGTGATTAGTCATTTGCCACCAGTATAGAGCCAGGCCAGCCTGCACGTCCATGCACTCGGACCAAGTTCTATACTGTTCCCTGTACAACTTCAAACCAGTGCTGGGCGGGGGAGTGATGTTGCACTTTTTCATTATCCTTCATGTACAGACTCAATCAAACCAAGTCTGCAATTTTAATCTTATTTTCCCGTTTTATAGTGCATCCGTGGGATCTCTTTTTTTCAAGATTATTCAAATTGTCAACTTAATATTACCAAAATTTTTATGAAAAGTTTTCAAAAATGGAAGCTGAATAAGTCCAATTAAGAAATTCAGCAGGTTAAGGGTTAAAGATAATTAATACTTTAGCAACTAATGTACTGTAATTGTATTTGTCTACAGTGGTACATATGTATATATGTATGTCTTAAAGAATGTTCAGATATAGTTGTACATTTGTTATTCAGACAGATATATTATGATCAAAATTAAAGTCTGTATTTTTTTGGAGAAAAGTGTTGTTTTTATTTCCAGCTCACTCTATGTATTTTTAGCTCACCTTTTACAAAGTAACAAGGTGAGCATTTGTGATTGCTTTTCATCTGGTGTTCTTCAGTTCAGCGTCCATTAACTTTTACTTTAAACGACATCTCTTCATAAACCGCCAAGCCAACTTCATCCAAACAACACAGGAATGTTCCTTTGGTGGTCACCATTTAAAACTGTTGAAAGAATTTAATTCCATGCAGTACTCTTGTTGCCATGGCAACCAAAAGAAAAAAAAATTAAAATTAAAAACCCCAAAGAGCTAGAGCTTAGATATTTGGCATAAAATATCTTCTAGTGAGTGTCTCCCAAGGTTGTTCAAATAAAAGCCCTGGGAGGGGGGTATTAATTTTCCTTAAATGTTTATAGTGAAAACTGAAAAAATCATCTTTTAAAAGACGCAAAGAGCTAAAGCTTAGATATTTGGCATGAAACATCTTCTAGTGAGTGTCTACCAAGTTTGTTCAAATAAAAGCCCTGGGGTAAAAATTTCAGGGCCATCATGACCCTCTTGCTTAGAGGAAAGTCTTGTTTTTCTTTCCAGCTTACAAAAATGGAACTAAATGTATAAGGGTAAAATATTAAAATGGATAAAGTTATGTCTGGAGTATGAATGAACTTATCTGATAAAGAACTGGTAAATTTACTTAAAGTTTGCTAAGTAGCATCCTAGTTACTCTCTTACAAGAATTTGATCATATTGTACCAGCTTGTCCCATTGAGGGCCATTAGCAATAGAGCTATAAAACATTTTAAACTTCTTATGAACTAATAGATATACCATCACAAAACTTTGTTCATGCATTAAGTGACTTGTATGCTGAGATGGTCCTAGGTATTTTGAAATAAAATTTCAAAGACCCTGTGTGATTCTAGTGACTTTGGTGCTTAAAGGCACTCCACTGAGTTATTTTTGGACATAAAGGGTCTGGAAATAATTTTTTTAAGATTAATGTTCCATTAGATGAAGGTCAATATCAAAAACTTGTGTGCAAACTTTCAGATCATTCACAGACTCCGTTCTTCCAGAATAAGTTTTTTTAATGTGAAAATTGACCCAAATTAAAAAACTTTGCAAGGCTTTTCACTCGTATTGGGCTAACAATAGCACAAAAATAAGATTTTTAATTTATTTTTGAGTATATGTCTCAATTATCTTTTGCATATTTTTTCTGTCTTAAGTGCCCCTTGTGATCTATGTAAGAAAATTTTAAGGCTTTATGACCTCTGTAGAGTTCCTTCAACTAAGGTGTCTGCCTCTCAACCCATGAATCTGGAGTTTAAGCTTCAAGCTTTCATCAAACCAAGCTTAAATAAACATGTTAATCTAAATTAACTATGCTCAAATTATTTTAGTTTGGCTTCAGTTAAAATAGCTTAAAATTGATGTACATTTAAGCATATAGTGGTTTCTTCTTGTGAATGGATGTATACATCATCACAAAATTTGATTCATAGCCTTCTAAGCCCAATATATCAGCTTTGCTGAAATGAGATTCTTCAGCCTCATTTAGCGTCTGCTGGAGCTAAATTTGAAATACCTTTACATCACTTCTTCTAATGAACCGTTTGGGTTGTTCAGCTTGTGTGCAAACTTTCAGAGCATTCGGAGACTCCGTTCTTCCAGAATAAGCTTTTTTAATGTGAAAATTGACCCAAATTAAAAAACTTTGCAAGGCTTTTCACTCGTATTGGGCTAACAATAGCACAAAAATAAGATTTTTAATTTATTTTTGAGTATATGTCTCAATTATCTTTTGCATATTTTTCTGTCTTAAGTGCCCCTTGTGATCTATGTAAAAAATTTAAAATTTTTTTTATTTTTAAAGGTTTTGCCCGGTGGATTTCCTTTTAAAACAAAATTTTTTGCCCCCCAACCCAAAAATCTGGTGTTAAGCTTAAAAGTTTTCATAAAAACCAAAGCTTAATAAAAAATTTTTAAATCTTTAAACTATCTAAAATTTTTTTATTTTGGCCTTCATTTAAAATAGTTTTTAAATTAAAATGTACATTAAAATTTATAGGGGTTTTCTTTTTGAAAGGGGATGTAAAACACCCATCAAAAAAATTTTGATTCACCCCCTTCTAGCCCAAAATTTTTCATTTTTGGCTGAAATGGAATTTTTCGGGCCTCTTTTAGCGTCTCCCGGGGCCAAAAATTTTTAATCCCTTTAAAAATCATTTTCTTCAAATAAAAACCTTTTGGGTTTTTCAGCGGGCAAACCTGGCCCCAAAGCATCTTTAGATGTTCCCCTAGGGTCCCTTTTAAATGTTCTTTAAATGTGGTTGGCCACATCTAAAAGAAGTCTAAAACCACCAAAGCTTTTCTGCAGAGTTACCCACTATCTAGTTTACATGAAAAACTTTGGTTAGTCCCTTTTTCAGTGCTGTTACCTTCAAATGACTTAAGATGACCCCCTTTCAAGAAAGGATGTAATTGGAAGTAATTATGAGTAAACATGTATAAAGAGTTGTCTCTCTTATTCAATAAAGAACTGTGATAAAAACGTACACATGCCTGCATGAGCTTTTTAATGATTCAAGTCAAGTCTGCATATATTGAAATACATTTTTTATTTGCATTTTTGTGTAGTTTTAATTTCATTCCATTTATACAGTAAATAAAAAGATACATATATTATAAACCGAATTTTCCCTCGTTTGCTACCAAAGAGCTATATCACATGTATGATTAACCCCCGGGCCGTTTTTTTTTCTGTTTTAATTTGGGACGGGCCCAAGTATAAATTTCCCGTTTCCCTTTTTGGATGAAACATTTGCAGACGATCTTTTGTTCCCCTCCCCGGGATTCGCCCAAATAAACGAGTCTTTTTTGTCAAAATGGGCCCTTCTTTTCCTTTTTTCTAAATTTTGGGGGAAATTTCATTTTACACCTGTTTTAAATTTTTTAATTGTCATTTATTTCCTAAAGTATTGCCGTTGTCGGGGTTTTTATGCAAAACGTCGATTATTGTGCCCTTTATTACTGCTAGCTGCAGTAAACGTTATTTATCGTGTTAGCTTTGTTTCTCCACGTTACCTGACACGTCATTGTGTATCTCGTTAATTTTGCCCTCCGCGTCACTGTTAGTTGTTGGAAATTTCCATATTCATTACTTTATTTTTCGTAATTACTGCCAATTCCCGCCGTCATATCTGTCTTACGAACTTCCGTCTTATTTTCCCTGCCATTTGTTTGTATATGGATTTTGCACTTTGCTTAACGTACTTTCACTATCGCTAGGTTTTGTGTTTAGCCTTATTCTTGAGTTCCGTCGTTGCCATGACCGATTGTCATGTCATTTACCTTTTGGAAATTTTTTACTTTCACTCATCGGCATTTAAGTTTTCTGTACTTCCTACAAGAGAAGTTATAATACTGTTTCGTCTTCACTATCCTCTATAGCTTTAGCGTTATCGATTGCTCCAAAGTCCTCAAGCTGGCGTTCATGCATTCTTTGCATGAAAAAATCGTCTATTTTTGTTCCCTCTAGAGCATTAGACGCATGAACATTTTGAACAACCTTTGGAACATACCCGTACATACTGTCAGAGGATAAATTGCTGTACTTTCCTTTTGTTTTCAATTTTTCCGGTTTTCGATTTTATTGATTTTGATTTTTCCCGGGTTTTAAGGGCCCGTTGAAAATTTTTTTAACCCCCTTTTGAAAACAGGCCCGGTCCACCCTAAACCCTTTTTTAAGAAAACTCGCCAAATGGTTATGGTTTTTTCCGGGAAAAAATTTCGTTTTGCTAACAAACCCCTGCCAACTTAACTTCCTGTCCCACTTGCCCGTTGCTCGGAAATTTTTTTTAAATTTTTGCAGAATAAAACAAAATGAAAAAAGCTATTTTCCCCTTCCCATGGGTCCAATTTTTGGAACTTTACCGGGTCGGGCTTTGTTTATAAAACCCACCTGCAAACCCCCGCCCGCCAAAAGACGGTGCTCGAAAAACCAAAGGGTTTATCTCCCGTATTCCCGTATACCAAACCACGGCCCGCTGAAATTTTTTAAGCTTCTGCAGGGGGCAGTTTTAAAATTTTTCCTAAAAAACCTTTCCCATTCTGCACATTTGGGTAATTTTTGTTGACATTAGATGATTTTGTCACATTAAGGTTTCGATTAAGCTGCCTTTCCTGACCGTCTGTAAAACTTTGGCTTTTGGCGTAAGGTGTAAAAATGTTCGGTTTTACCATACGTTTATTCATGTCTGTGGCCACGTTTTTCCCTTCAGTTCCTTCGTTACGTTTGGCGTTCAATTGAACAGAACTTATGCCAAGTCTAGTCCCGTTTCGACTGGATGGAACGAAGCATTCATCCATCCACGGAAACGTTGTTTTAGAGGCAGAGCTATCGTCAAGTGAGTTTTCAAACACGCCCTGGACAGGTGGTCGTTGTCTTGGAGTATAGTGATTCTGTAATCTTCCTTGAAAACTGTCTTCATTGGCTTTCATTTGGTATTGTTCAGAAGAGATATCATTTAATTCTATATGTTCATGGTCAAGAAGGCTTCGTCTGGCCCACGTATTTTTACCAGATTTATTTCGTCGATTATTTCTTACTCTGTTTGTGAATTCATAGCGCGCGCTGTGAGAGCGTTTGTCGTCTGCTGCTTCACAAATGCAGCAAAAATACCGCCAAATTGACGGCATGTTTGAGTGTCTGAAAAAAAAAACTTTCAATGTACATATTATGAAGTAACATTTGGAAAACATGAAAATGAATGGAGAGAATCGTCCTCGGACCAATTAAAATGAAAATGTTAGATTAGAGAACTAATAATCAATTGTTTTTTCATAAAGCTTCTATAAACTGCCACATATTTTCCAATTCTAGTTTGCAAAAAAGATGCATGCGTTAAATACAAAATCAATCAATCAAATTACATACAACACAAATTGTAGATCTCACATTGAGCGTTATTTATTAGAGTTTTTGTTTACATTTGCCGTTACATTAAAGGGCATTTTATCTTACAATAAACATTTTGAATAATACGGTTTACCTTGATCTTAACTTTTCCGATTAAACCATTAAATGTTTACATTCCATTTGTTAATAATCAGTTTTTTTGCACTCAAATTGTTTATAACGAAATTATCCTACAAAAAATACACACTTTAATCTTAAATGTAACTGCTGTTTGCAAATTTAAAAATATTTACCGACTTTTTTATGGACCAAATAATATATACCAAACAAACAAGTAACGTATACCCGTATATATATTATAGATAGCGTCGCTGAACGGTTTTGTACAAAGAGCAATATGACCCTAGCTTATTTAATGAGAATTAAGTACAGAATAAAACCATTGTTTTCCGGTGGTTATAAATCAATAATTTTAAATGGCATTTGAGTTATGGATCATGAGCAGTTAAAGAAATCGGGTTACTTAAGATCTACTTCTCTCAATAAAGTATTATCTGTAACAGCGAAAGTGACAAAATCTAGAATTACATACTTTGATGTATTATATTGCGTATTAATATTTATTGACAAAAGATCAACGATTTTTTTATGAACGATATGTAACTACAGCTCCTAGTTAGGGATTACTTTTTTGTTGTGTATTGTTCCGCAGTTAATTTTAGACGCTAAACCAGAGCAAAAAGAGTTAATAACTTTTTAATGTAAGATCGATTTTAATGATTCATAAAGTGCGTACGAGTATAAGCATTTGAGGCACGCTGTATAAAAAATAACAACACTTGTACCGTCACACGCGTGCTCGGGCAAACAATCATCATCATCATCAACATCATCATCATCATCAGCAACAACAACAACAACAACAACATAATTAATCATCATATATTAACAACAACAAAACAAAAGAGGAAAAAAACTACAACAAAAGACAACAATTAACTCACTTAGCAATAAACAAAAATAACGATGATTAGTTTTGATCGGTCATTTGACCCAAATTAAAACACTCACTATCTTGTATAACCTTTGGTGCTTCCCGATCTATATACCATTCTCTAGACAATTTTTTAAAGGCTTATAATTCCCATGAACTGCTTAAAATTTCATTTTTCAAAAGCTTTTTATTTCTAGTGTCCTGTTATATGAAGTTTCCAACACGTTACTTGCAACTGTTGCTTTTGTCAATTACTCTAGTTATAGTATTTTGTACGGAAGTCAAAATACTACTTTGAGTACATTTTGCTACTTTTATGACAAATCGTTTCACATTCAGCGCTACTTTCCTAAGTATCAAAATTTTTCTAAAATCATTATTTATATATTTTAAACTCATGCTTTCCCTTTCTACAGATGTATTTTTTTATTCATTTCTTAGGCCTAATGTGCCTTTAATATAGGTTATCTAATAGCATACTAGTATCGGATTCTAATCAACGCAAACACGCCATTGCTAACAGCTAACATATACTTGCATACTGAATTATAAATAATTTTGGCATTTAAAATAAAAAATAAAAATCACAAATGGTACATAAAAACCGAAAATCCGCTGTTTATCAAATATTATTGCAGTGGATTAAAATGGTTTTAAATTTAAATTTATTTGTATATATAGATATATTGTGATATAACAGAAAGTAAGTTGTTATATGATCAGAGATTAAGTATTATTGATATACACAAAGACATCCAAAGTTCAACGTTTTAACTTGCCTAAAAAGTCAGTACGAAATACAGAGAAATTTCAGAGAAGTTACAGAGAAATTACAGAGAAATAAAAAGAGAAATTTCAATTAAACCCATTTCTCATTAACAAATTTGCAGATTTCTTCCAGTTATCGAATTGTTTCAATAAATTACTACGAGTGGTTCAAGTTTTTTTTATTAAAAATATCCTGCCATTTGGCACTGAAAACATGATCGCGACCGGAGTAGGACTCGAACCCACGATCCCAGGGTTGGTTGAGATGGAACGAGCGGTTCAAGTTTTTGACTTAGAATCTCCGAAGATTTAATTAAGTATCTTTAGGAACTCAAATGATCAGTGGTGTTAGGTACGTGCCCGCTTCATGCGTGATTTTCCTTAACCAGTATTGCTATTAAGTCGTCATTTAAGCTCTAAAGCGTCGATACCTAAACATAACTCTCTAATAATGTTACAGAAAACACCATATTAAATCTTAAAAAAAAAACAACTATGAAATATTCAACCACGGCGGATAATTGCATGTTCTTGTCTTAATAACATGGGACTTCTGGTTCAGGCGTTTCCATCACAACACTGGGATCGTGGGTTCGAGCCATACTCGGGTCGCGATCATGTCTGGCACGGGTAATGGTCCAATGCAGCGGACTTAAAATTGTCTCAACCAATTACAAACGAGCACAATAGTAAAAAAGGGATGAACCTTTCCACTGGGCGGAATGTGACAACTTGGAATAACAATAATGCTCTTAAATACGAGTTGATGAGAATATTAAATGTTCACTTCTCATCGTTATGGGTTCGATTCCTGCCCAAAAACTTTCATGCAAGGAAACTACCTAGCTAAAGTAAGTAGTTCTACTCTTGCCTGATGGGCACAATGAAAGCTGGAAAGTGGCCATACGACATTAAGAGTTACGTTGTGGCTAAAACCAAACAAAAATGTTTGCCAATGTTTATCAATTTGAATACAAAAGAAATGTTTACAAGTATACGAAAACATTAACAAAATTTACAAATTTCAACGTAACAAATCAAAAATGAAGGTTAGAATAAAATTCCCTTCAAACAATTCTTTTAATTTTTCATAAATTTGTTAATGTTAAAACTGATTAAATGCATCAATACGTACATGTGATGAATGATAATTTTGATATTTTTTTGTGATTTTATAATTACAAAAATTACAAACCTTGTATGGTTATCAATTCCTACTTCCCGCGACATAAATAACAGCTATTCAGTCTTAATTTATTTACGGTGGATTTAACACAAAGTTGATTTTTAAAATAAGATTAAATATGATAGGTTATCAGGAAAATCAATCGATTGGCAGCCACGATAATTGTATTATATATATACAGTGTAATTATATATGTACAACACTAATAATTCTTAATGGCTAAATTTACACGTATTGTGGAAGGGTGGTCGTAACATTTAATAGTAGCTGTCGTGTCAAATAGAACATTTGATTAATGTGCTTACATTATTGTACGTTTGCACTAAAATGATTCAAGGACGCTAAAATGATAGGTCGGAAGCGAAAGTTTCCTACCTAAATTTTTAATTTTATGGAGACCTTATGTTTACTAAAGAAAAGATCAACGTGTCTGATAGCGTATTTCTTGTTTATTTAATGTGAAAAAACTACAACAAAATGAATAGATGAAACAATCTAAACGAAATATATGGCACACATTTCCGTGAGGAAGCATATTATTTTTCTGATCGTCGCGTTACGCCGTCTTACCAGCATACTATCACCGCGGCATACGTGTGCACAAGTATTTTTGTCACACAACTGCTGACAAATAAGAGAGTAGCAATTACCTCATAATGTCAAACAGTCGCGTTTTGGCGACATACAATTACATGTATACACTCGGGATACGGACAAAGCCCCCCCCATCTAAAAATGACAAGGTGGACAAAAGCCCCCCCCCTCCCCATGAAATTTACACATAGGACAAAAGCCCCCCCCCCCCATCAAAAATACATGTAGGACAAAAGATACAAAAGTTCTAATTTGATTTAATGTGTAATTCGTGGCCTTTTGTCCTACACTCTATACACTTTGCGCCAGTGTTGACAGATTGCTGCAGGGAGGACAGAAATATAAAATTTACAAAAGGTAGCTTATGAACTTGGTCACGGATTTATGATAAATCAGTGACTTGGTTGATGCATTTATATTATGCAAAAAAATGTTAATTCCATTGCTATAGACTTAGTGTCCGTTAACTGGAGACACTTTTACGGTGTGGACTCTTTTACCCTATTCATAAACAATTTTGAGCGGGTTAAAATGACAGCTTCGAAAAATCAAATGGCTGCAAGCTCTGTGGTATTTTCTGATCTTTGCAATCTAAATCATACTGACTATCTGTATGTATTTTCCTGTATAAGTTTATTTTTATATACTATAATACATCTTACGCAGCAACTGCGTTAAGATTTTTTTCTATAACAGTTTGAGATTGATACATATGGAATTTTGCATGACTAGAGTTGCATCAAAAATCATTTTTTTTGACAGCCACACTTAATTCCTTGCATATCGTGGCTACTTCCTTAAAAAAGACACTTCAAAAAAAAAGTTGCCTTGACTAGGATTTGAACCTTAGGCCTCTCACACCCTAAACGAGCGCGATACAAGCGCGATACCCATGCACCACGGTGAAGTAATACGTAATATGTAGCCTGAATAAAAACAAATACATTGTAATTTTAAATTGAGAATTTCCATTTTGTGTTTGTAATCCTTATCAATTTCGAGGTATTTTGTTCACGATAAACCTGTTTAACACTGATAAAAATAATTTAGCGAAAATCTTCTCGCCAAAACAGTCCGACATGTATATATTCCACTACTCGGCAGTCAGATTTATTTGTGTACTACGCCCTGGAGTATTCAGTAATCGACATAGCTAAAAATATTAAAATGATATTCATCCGCGAAATTTGTGATTGTAACCTCATATTTCTATTGACTAATCTGAACTTTCAATGCACTGTAATTTGTTAAATGCCTACATTAAAAATTATTCTGTCTTTTAAATTGCTAGTTTTTAAGCAGTTTGGAGTGAGAACTACTTTGCGTTGTTAGGTCTGTTAGGAAATTTTGTGTTAGACCGTGGATGTTAGCTATGTATTTACTGATCTTGCGATCAGAAAATACAAAAACCCTGATTTCTTGTTGTTTAAAATATCTCAAGTTTAAAATAAAAGACAGGATAAATACATGTAATCCTTACTTAGGGTCATGTATGCAAAATATCAACATAGTGTGTCTTTTCTTGAGAATTTTACATGCTCCAAACTAGCCTTGCCATAGTGAAATTGCTGTTGTATTGGCAATGTACATGTAATTTATCAGAATTAAACTGACGCCTATAATCCATTTTCTAAAAATACAAGTCGTTATCATGCTGTATCGTAGTGTATAAATTCTGTTTCTGTTTAATAGCCCGTAATTTGGTGAACATTCCCCATGCACATATAGAAATATAACCATTCAGGAGTCATTAATCTGTTTGGTTATAGTCCCTAGTGATAGAATGTTATCTTTAAACAATTTATTGCTACCCATTGTATATTTTAATCAGTAAGTTATAATAACCATTTGTGTACATCATAACGAGGCGGCTTCTGCTTTATATGTGGTAAATCACCAGACATGATGTTTTTATAGTTTAAAAAAAGCAAAGCAATTATTAGTAGGATAACGTTATTGTTTTATTATCATTAGAAATTTAAAACAATAATCAAACGATATTTGCAGTCAGTTGATTTTGTGAAACATATACATGTATTTTTGAGGCTGCCAATGATGATAGAAAGGTTCTGAAAGTGGCTAACATTCTGACAGTATGTATGTCTTTTAGTTTATCTGAGTTAATATGTCTTATAAAGGCTGTCTTGTAAACTGCAGTCAATATTGCCGTTTAAACTGCTTGCCCCACGGACATTCAAGTGGCTATAAATAATTTTACAGTAAATCCACAGAGGGGCTGGCCTAGGCTTGAATATTTTTGTCTACACTTTAAATTTATGTGCGGGTACTAAGCATTGAGTTTAAAGGAAACAACGACTTGCCCAGACAGGACTTGAACCCACAAATACTGTAAACAACACTGCACCTATACCATGCTGGGACCGAAAAACTAGCTTAGAGCCAAGCCAGACCAAACATCCGTGCAGTCTGAACAGGCTCTGTACTTCTTCAATATACATAAAATGAAAAGAGAAAAAAAGCTCCAAACTCAAGATTTCCAAGAAATTATATTATGATCTCTTCAAAATTTCATAGGGAGCTTAGAGACGAAAACTAATATCCCGTTTAGTTTGCATAACTGTAGTTGTATATATATATATCAACTCGAGACAGCGAGTATGTTGTGGCACGGTCGAAAAACTTTTTATTTAGTAAAATGAAAAACGTTTTCAGAAATGTTTTGGTAGAAAGTGTACTTTTGCCAAATGTTAAAAGAGATGTAAAATGCTTAATTAGGAGAAATAAAACCATAATTAGGGCTTCATATGTCTTCATTAGGAGTTGAGAAATAAAACCTTAAGACTATAAAAAATTATGGACTTTGTAAAACCTAATTGGGATCAAATGAAATCAAAAGTTGTAACTTTGAATCTCCTAATTAGGGTTTTATACAAAGTACATGTACTAATTAGCATTTTATTTCTCCTAATAAGTTTTTGAAACTTCTAATTAGGAATACAAAGTTTAACTCCTAATTAGTAGTTAAAAATCCAAACTATTTTATAATTTCTCCTAATATGCCTTTTTAACTTCTATTCCTTTTAAACTGCATATGGAGAGTACAAATTCTTATTTGTTTTTTTAATCTCTCCTTAGGCAATTATAACATAATCATAGAACAATATTATATAGAATCAAATTCATAATTAAGAATCTGTAAATTCCTTAATAGGACTAAGAAACTCATAATCATGTGGTTAATGTCCTAATTAGGCCAGGAGGTACTTCCTTCTATTATGGCATTAAATACACTTGAACTTTGGATTGTTTCATGTGATGAAACTATCCAGCTCGGTGGTTCTACTCAGGCGCCTGTTCGTGACTGAAATAATGCATGGAAGGCATCTGAGGTCTACCTCCACCAGTAAAGCTGGAACGTCGTCATATGATCTATACTGTGTCGCCATAAGATCTATACTGTGTGGGTGAAACGTTAACTCAATCAATCACACAAACAAAACCGTTGTACAGTCTATTATCTCTTTTATACGACCACATCATGGCTATTTGCTTAAACATTTTATCACAAACTTTCAAAGCACCAAGCCTCCAGATTCATGCTTATTGTCATGGAAATCTTGAAAATGTATTTAAAAGTAAAATTTTGTTAAGCAAACAAATATATTAATTTACACATTGCAAAGACCTCTAACAATCCAGTAAATTACCATCAAAAGAGGTCAAAATATCAAAAATAGCTCTTAAATGTTTTAGAAAAAATATTAAAACTTTTACAATAAAAATTTATGTGTACTTTTTTTAAAAATTTTCCAAAGTTCTTTATCTTTGAAATATTTAGCTTATCTGGAGGCATGCTGCTTTCATGTTCAGTCAAGTAGTAAAATTTAACACAATCTTTAACCCTTTCAAGATATTTCCATATGTCAAATAAATCAAATAAACCAAAGTACCAAGTTCCTTGATCAGGGCTGGTTAATTTAGCACACAAATCAAAACAGGTATAGTGTAACCTCTGATGAGTGGACCTATGTAGACAAACTATTACAACAGTTTCAAGTTTTCTCAAAGTAGTACATTTAACCTTTCTAGAGCAATATCTCTCAACAACTACCAAGATATTTACATTTCAAATGGCGTTGCTATACATGGGTTGTATTATATATTATTTTCTATCAAATACATGTATAGTTTTGCCTTTTATACCCTGAAGCATCAGTATATATTTACCAATAGAAAATATAGTTTAGGCTGGGCTAGAAAAATGTACATTTGTCAGGGTTAGAAACTGGAATGAGCTGGGTTAGTAATTGTATTTTTGTTTCATGTAGGTTTATATGGACAATTTGCAAGTGTCTCTCTCTTTTCTTTTTTTTTAAATGTCTCATCTTTTCAGTTTTATTGTTATATCTTTCAAGTTTGCAATATCTTCACATTTTCTCTAGAGAAAATACTCCATGTTATGAGGACACAGTTCAAGCCATGTTCAAATTTTTCCCTTGAGGACACAATCCAAGCAATGTTCATACTTCCTTTCGAGGTCACAGTCCAAGCAATATTCACATTATGTTTAGAGGACACAGTGCAAACAACATTCACATTTCACTTTAGAGGACACAGTCCAAGCAATATTCACATTTTTATTCCCCTTTGAAAAAAACACAGTCTGAGAAATGTTCA